ATATATATATATATATATATATATATATATATATATATATTGAAACATTTAGAAATCCGCTTTAGGCGAAATTTGTGCCATTGAGGAAATTTATTTAATGATGTTTTCTAAAATTTCAATTTAAAATAGATTCATCAAAAGCAAATATTCCATTGAGAGATATTTTCAGCACTCATGAATCCGTGTCATGCAGAAGTTTGCCAAAATCTATCAAAAATGGGAAAGAAATGCTGATGAAGAAATTTTCGCATCATTTTCAGATGAAAATTGAAAATGATCATCCTCTAACCCTATAAAATTACCCGATAGAGCACCTATTTTTCACCAAATCAAAGAGGAACTGAATACTAATGAAACCTAACTGCTTTATCTCATGTCCGCAGTCTTTGAATGTCAAGGAATTAGGAAATAAATGTGGAATTTTTAAGCAAATTCCCACAATTAATCAATCTTGCTCAGAGATCAATCGAATGCGTTTAATTGCACTGTACTGCAATCGAAATCGACGTGATTTTGGCAGTTCTCAACTTTATTTTGCAGTTAATTCTGTCCTTCTTACGATCGTAATTCAAAAAATTGCACTAAAACTGAAAGGCAGAGAAAGTATGTGTACCTAAGGTGAAGGTTAAATAATTTTTCGACTCAAAGTCAGGAGAAATGTCTTCGATACACTCTCACGCAGTTAGAGGTCTAGACAGCAACACGTTGGACATGCTATTACGATTTGTGTCATCTTTATCTGCCCTTCTTGGGTCATTTAAGATCTCAAGTCACCTTGGAAAAATTTCGAGAAATTGGCCATACTTGGGTCATGTAATTGAGCTTTAGAAATGCGCAAAAGTACTCTGAGAGATTGAGATTCGCATTCGGCGTTTATTTTAAATATTCTCAATCTAAAATAAGCACCAGAAAGTCTACATTTATAAATAGCATGCAATTAATTAATTCCTCTATTTAGGTTGCGAAACGCTCGCAAATAATGGATAATAAACTGATTGATTTGAATATAACGATAAGTTGGAATAATTCGGATTTCTTCCAACCACCATGGAAAATCAAATACCTTTTTGGGCACAGATTAGACCGCTTTTTTAAATGAAGCGCAGTGCCTTTTTTTAAGATAAAGTTTTGTAATTATATGTATTTATTAGGTGCATAAAATTATTTTTAAAATTGTACTTAGATTTGTTGTGTGCAGATCACCATTAACTCCTATTTACCCAATATTCTTAATAATATTATCACTCTGTTCATAATTAGGAACCATATGAAAGAAAGATTGGATTATAAATTCAGAGAGCGCCGAATTGTGGAAATGAAGTTTTTAAAAAATTGAATGAAAGTGTGGTGTTCAGGACTCCCCCTCCCCCCCCCCCAGAAAGGAGATTCCAAGTAAATGATTAATTTGGTGTAAACAGATGGAATAGTTATTTTGGAATTCACACGAAGTAGGGCTTTTACAATTGCAAAAACTCTATCTTTTCATTGATTTATTCCTATTTTATATAATTTGATAATGGTTTTTCTTATTTCTACAGTTTTAGATGTTTCCATTTTGCTTTGGCATGAATGACATTGCTGAAGAAAAATAAGTGATTAATGAAAATTAAACTTACTTTGGAATAAATCGGGTAACCACACATTTGTTTAAAACAAGGGACAAAGTAGATTCAAATTACTTCATTCTCGGCCACTTATGACTTCGACATTTCGAGCTCTTATTACAAATAACACAAACCACCAACGTTAATTACCGTTAATTACTACTACAATATCATTGAACGCTGTAGAAATATTAATTTTTATCTCAATTTTCTCTCTATGCAAAACAAAACACGTGGTGCATTCCGACTGTCGTAAAGTCCACTGTTTTTACCCGTACCCACTTGAGCTTTGGAAATGACAAAATTGATCAGACAGTTGGTGGTATGCATCATATAAAATTTAAATTATTTGGTCATTATTATCAAATTGTCTTTTGTTAATATAATTATCACTTTAAGCTCAAGTAACGATATTTATTCTCCATCATATGCATCAAAGAAGTTTAGAGTAGTCACTTAATTGTCTTTTGAATTCGGAGAAAATTATTAAGCATTCCTTATTGATTTATATTATTTAATTAGCCGACAGGAAATTGCCTTCATGCGCAAAAGAAATCGATAAAAACTACGCAGATTGAGAGCAAAACTCACGGTAGCTCGAACTCCAAGGTCAATCTGCAGCCACTCAGTTGAAGATTTGTATTTTGGGCACCAAGCCAGACCATTGGTTAGGAAAGGACGAGCATTGTTTGGAGAGCAGCTGTTTATAGCCCAATCGCCTTCATCCATGAAGGAAGATGCTGAGATTTGAGCATCGGTGATGGCTCCAGAGATCATTCCAAGCGGATCATCTTGTTCACAGGCTACATAATATTATAGGTATTAAGTTTTCATTTGAATGTATGTTCATTATCTAAATTGCTGTACAATAATTGATCAAAATGCGTTTTAGTTTGGGTTGTTATTAGGCTAGGCTGTCCAACTCTATTTTATATAAAAAAGTAACCCCATCCTAATTACCTCCCCCCTCCCTTCAATCAGTGTATGTGCATTGATGAATTTTGAAATCATTACATCCGTATTAACGCATGTGTACATCGGTGCTATGCCACCGTAAAACCTCCCACAATGTATTCTATGCTCAATCATTTCCTTTATCGCTTGAAATTGAAGCTCAAATACTTCGTGTTGATATTGATATTGCTCGATTTGTCTGCCCTGTTTAAGACCACATGTTCGACAGTAACGCGTGATCTTATTGACGGATGCCAAAGTTATAATCAATTGTAAGGTATGCTTATTAGAAGCTACCTCTCCATCTACGACTGTTGTCTGGGATATCCAACCTTATTGTGCAGCCGTTAGTTGACATTGTGTTTTTACGGCATCCAAGTAATTTGATATATTGCCAGACGGCTCATTAAAAATGCAAATTAGAATTGTGAGCTAATGGTGAAAGAATGTCATTTTGAATACCATCACAATTCATCAAATAAGTGACCCCCCAATCAACATCTTGGGTGGTCCAAATTCACTGACCCGGTATCAATTTGAATCCATAAGTAATAGGATCATCAAAGTGATCAAATAATTAATTCTACTTTGGTGGTCTAGGCGTTTCCTTGTGAAAATTAGTAGTTTTAATAGAAGAAAAACCGAGTGGAGAATTCTTAGCTGAATGCCATTTACTTTTGCAAATATTTCAGACAATTACGATAAATCATTGCTTACAAAAGTTTACGTATTGTAGCACTTTTACAAATTTTTATTATTATCAGACTATTGAATCATCGGGGGGTTAACAACGGGATTTGCCCTAAAGCCGTATAAAGTATAATTGTTACTTGGAGAGAGAGAGAGAGAAGAAGCCACTTACTTAATGTATAATGGTGCACACCAAATTTGCCTTTAACTATCATGCAGAAATTTGGAGAACAAATTTTAGCGTTTGAAAAGCTCGGTCTATATTGAGTGAACTATATTTGTATTGGGGGGGGGGGGGGGGGGTGTGGACGAATTGGTGGCTTGTGCATTCGAAGGCATCAAGACTCGTGTTCTGTTCATCCCTCTCCTCGACGCCAACTTTTTCATTTTAGCTTTGACATGGGAATGGAGTGTGTACGGTGTAACTACCTGTAGTAAATTTGGAATAAGTGTTTTGTTGTGTTCGGTTGTCCAAACTGAAGTAGAACTATTTATTAATTATCGGCTAATTACTAATTTATTCCTGTGAGACAAGGTTACATTGTGTAGAAGTTAAAGTAAGCGAGAAGAAGTGTGAAACCCCTAAAAACCAAATTCGTCAGGAAAAGTACTTCCTTCCGAAAATTACCAGATCTTTAGAAATTCGCCAGCTTATCAGCTGGAAGCATTTGTTCATTAGATACCACATTCAAATCAATGCAAGTGTCAAGGCTTCTCAATTGGGTCACTGGATTGTTTGCAAAACTGTTCAATTTTAATGTAAGTTTGAAATAAATTTTGGAATATTGTTTACATTCCGGAGGCCTTTTAGGCGAAATAACAGCAAATATAACGATCCCCTAAATTTATTAATACCATGTTTTTTCTTAAATTTATTCATGTCTAATGGTAGGGAAATGCATTCATATTATCAGTCTTGTCGAGTCAATTTTTACCCTTAGAAGCTCTCGACTATTTGAGTTGAATGCTAAAAATAATTGAGCGTCCAAATCTATTCACTTCTTGAAATAAAAAAAGCTAAAATGTATTTATTCACTTGGCCACCTACTATTAAGTGAATTGAGTTTAAAAATAATTTTTTGAAAAATCACGAAGTATTTTTATGTTTTTTTTTCACTGAATATCACCTATATATATATATATATATATATACTCAAAAATGATTTTAGTTACTATCAGCTAGCAAGTGAACTATTCCCTCGGAAATATGATTTGTTAAATTTAGTAGCCAAAGAAATTATATCTACATATAATATCACTTCCAGAGTCGTTTATTCACTTCACCGTGTTGGTTATTTGTTTTAATGTTTTTTTTTAATTTTAAATAAAAACGATTACTGAGGTCAACTCACCGTCATAAGAGGGATCGTAATTGTAATTAACGCCTGAAGCACCCCTGTCCATACGCATGACATTTTGAGAATCCCCAAGCACAGGTGGAGGAATCAGTTGAATCAAAGTTGAGAATAGAAGCAGAGTTGAGATAAACGAGAGCAGTGGTGAGTCCCGTCGCATGGTTCCTGGATCTATGTTAGTTAGTAAGCTGGTCGGTCTCTATCGCAATATCCCTCCTTTACTCGGCCGCAGTTGCAATTTAAGTGCGCATTGCTGTGGTTTTCCAACCACCTGATTGGCTCTAGGTGGGTGAACTGACGCACCATACGCGCATTTTTGCATCAAGTTATCGAAATGTGTGCTTATTTAAAATGCGCAGAACTCACTTCATAGTTGGACTTATTAAATGTTCATATAATGTTAATATTTTAATTACTCAAAATCCAATATAATATGCATTACAGCAAAGTTCAAACAATCGATGCGTAGAATTCTCTCTGGTCCTGCAAAGTTTACTTATTTATGTATTTATTTCAAATGGCGGGCTCTATGACACTTGCTATTAGCCCTTTAGCTAACTTCGGGCTTCACAGAGGGAAGAAACATCAAAGTAACGGAAAGTCGGGGGGGGGGGGGGGGGGGCAGAAG